AAAAAAAAAAGATCCGTTTTCAGAAAAGACAAAAACATTTTTGTTTTTATTTTTCAAAAACTTTTAAGCCAAACGCATTTTTAGTTTGCATTTTCATTTTTTAATCTTGAAAAACGTAAAAAATGAAAATGAAAACATAAACAAACAGGCCCATAGATATTGCCATTTCCCATTTTTCTAATCATTGTGAACACATTTTACAGTCTTGAAAAACGTAAAAAATAAAAATGAAAACATAAACAAACAGGCCTATAGATATTGCCATTTCCCATTTTTCTAATCATTGTGAACACATTTTACATTGCCAACCAACCAGGTCAAAAGATAAATTTAGTCTCCTTTTTTTTTCCGTTTTTGTTGGAACTCAAGAAAAGATCAATTATTCTGATTATGAGTTCAAACGATATATAATCTCCGCTTGTTTAGGAAGCCCGATTGAGGACAGCGAGAAGCTCGCCTGCATACATAGAACTCAGATCATAGTCGGACCTCTCATCCGACCGCCTTTTCTTTTCTGTCCATCTCTTGTGCCTCAGCTGACATAAGGTAGATCGGTAAAGGCCCATTCAAAGACCTGCTCATATTGCATTGCAGCAGTTTCCCATGTGAAGTCCTTCTGCATAGCTCTTTTCATCAGTCCCTTCCACGAAGACTTGTGCTCTCTGTACGTACTAATAGCAACTCTTAGTGCCTGCCGATGATTAACCAATTCAATTAGTCACATTTTCCATAAAAAAGGGTTCAGTCAGTCTGTCACTCGGTTCTATCTAGAAGCAGCGAAAAAAAGAAGAAGAGCATTTGCTAACATTACAGTCCAACAGTGGCCCTTGTTTGGAATCAAATTGAAACACGTTAACCAGAGTGTATGAGCATACTGAAATAACATACCCATAACATGTTTTCTTTTACTAGCGGAGAAAAAGTCCACCTGCATATGTACATTCCCCAATAAGGTCATAAATAAGAATCTAACGAAGCAAAAGTCACTTGTAGCAATGAATAATTATGTACCCTGTGCCTTCTCCATTGCCGTCTTGAGCATATGGATTGAAGGTCTCTACAGTATCCTGAAATGAAAAGAATAAAAGTGCTTTCAAATGACAAGTTTAAACAAAAAACTTAATTGATTTTTTGAATGTTAAACTTACTCCAAGTCCCCCAGTGCAATGAACCACAGGTATTGTTCCGTATCTCATTGCATATAATTGATTCAGACCACAGGGCTCAAATCTCGAAGGCATCAACAGTATGTCACAGCTGGATAGCAAGGATCGGAATAAGCCAGAGAAACGATAACTTATTAGCATCGAAATAGAGACTTAACTAATATCTCGACCTTTTTATGCCAAGTGATGCCATGCTGTGAGTGCTTATTTTTCAGAAATTGAAGCGAGTGGTTAATTTTCATGGGGAAAAAAGTGTGATTAATTTGTAATTCCTTTTCAATTGGGATACAGTAATTACTCACAACAGTACTTGGCCTGATAAGTATGAAATATTAGTCGGGGAACACATAATACTACTCAAAACATTAACTCTAATTACCCTGCTGTTATCCTATGAGAAATTGGAACATTAAATTCAACCCAGCCCCGAAATTTATCTCTATAAGCTGATTCTGTTGCCCTCATCCATTCTTCAAACCGTGGGTCCCCAGAACCTAGCATAACCTGAAACATGCTAGATAACTTTAGTCGTGGACAGTCAGCTACCCAAACCCAAAACTAACAATTAAGGGGAAAAAAAGAATTACTTACGAATTGTATATCGTCTTGCATAAGCTCTGGAATAGCCTGCTGAATCAAGTCGATTCCTTTCTGGTAATCTAATCTCCCAATAAATCCAATCTGCGAAGTTCAAGATAAAATGAACAACAAGATGAGATGGAAAAGTCTTGTTACCACGACTACATTCTTGTAGATGACAATGAACATCTTACCAATGGACAATCAGGCCTAACAGGAAGACCTAATTCCTTCTGCAAAGCAATCTTGCATTGGGCCTGCACTTTTTTAACAATAGATATAAGATTACTATTATGGGTTAGTACTAGCTCTTCCAAAATAATATACTTTTTCCACCTTTCCAGAAAGATCCTCAGCAGAATAATGGAAAGCAATGTGCTCATCTGAAGATGGATTCCATGTAGCATCATCAATTCCATTCGTGATCCCTGTTCATTAAAAAAAACAAATTATCCCCCCCCTCATGACAGCCATAACCATCAGTCATACTCCTAAGCATGGAATGAGTTCACAAGGCAGGCCTAAAGTACAAGAGTTTAGTATCTACCATCAAGAACCCTCTTTCGGCTGCCTAACAGCTCCTGCAGACCATATCCACCTTCAACGGTAGTGATCTCCCAAGAATATCCCTGCAGTTAGAGGGAACAACTAAACATCAGAAGCTACAGAACTGTGACATACTAGATACTGTCTGTAGGAACAATAAATTGAACTCCATCGTTGGAATACAAGAGGCCTATATTTCTCTTAGTTTTCAGAGCAACTAGAGCATCTCGCAACAAGACCCATAAAACTAATGTAAGCATCTAAAACTGGAGAGGAAGAAAAAGCGAGAAAATGGACCTTGCTAACTGTCAGTATCCGATCAGCTGTCACAACTGCACCCTTCAGAATGTTAACAGCTTCACCTGTGTCAAGAGCATGGGTCCTTGCCCATGTTGGAAAAACCCATCCCAATGCTCCATACCACTCTGGAGGTAGTCCCAAATTTTTGTACGTTGCTGCAGGCTCCACTCCCTTATGCAAGAGAACGTTAAATTAGATTGGGGTATTCACTCTAAAATTACAAGAGACATATATAGTATCAGTAAGTAGCATTTTAATAGATTCGACTTATGAAGGAGTTTTGTAATTGTTCTGCCACCATGATATCCTCCACAAAGAGCTCTTAATAGTACCATCACAAACCATATTTCGATTAGCTTTTTAGTCAAATTAAAGAAATGCACAAGTACAATAAGCAGTCCAATATGCATCCGTCCACCCAGTGCCCTGAGGTTGTTTTCATGAATAACAATCTCGCTTTAGAAAGTACATATCTAGTACAACTTCCAGACCTTGTTATTGTGTTTTATCTATAAAAGTATTTAAGTCATTTTTTTCTTCAAAAAGAAATCTTCACAAGAGAACATAAACAAAATCTGAAATTATAGTCCTCTGTCGTTCGACTAGAATGCAAGTTTCCATTGTATGTTGTGAAATCATCTGATTCAACCACCTAAGAAACCTTCCCATGCTCCCTGGTCAGGAATCTCGGAGTTCATATCATTCTAATGGTGCAGATATCATTCAATTTTTGATATTTTTATGTTTTCAGATTGAAAGAAAAAGAAAGAGAATTCACCTGATGTGCAAGGTTATGGATTACAAGAATACTTCGGGCATCCTTGTAAACTCCATGTGGACGATATTTGGCTGCCAAAAGCCTGAAACAGAAGAGATGTAATGGTCAATGATTGTGAACTTTGGTCTCAAATAATGATAATTTATGCGCTAATATTAAGAACATCATTACTAGTCCTAAAGAAGAACAAGAATATCCATAGCTAGCCTTATATATGGTAATTAAATGATCTAGGAAACCATACACTGAAACAAGTCCTGCATGCCAGTCATTGATGACGAACATACAATTTTCCCCATAGGTGTAACCTCCCAATGGAAGCACCAATGGGGCTTCACATGCTGCATGGCAAAGCAAAGTGAACCGAAACTGTAAAACCAAATGAGAATACAGATCATCATTATTGGTGAACAATATAGTATGCTACTTCACTTATCTATCCCAAAAAAGCTACAACTTGAACAACAAGCATACCTGGTTATCACCAAAAGCTCCATAGCAATCCCCATAAGGATTTCCAGGTCTATGGTATGCTGGATGGTCCACAAACACCTGTAACAAAGAGGAAAAGCACTCATCATGACGAAGGAAACAAATAGGACTTACATTATATGAATAAACTATTTCTATAAGAAGCCTGCAGATTTCTCACCCAATCGACACCTTCCCTATACTCATGGAAGAAGGCGACCTCTTGCTCTCCTCCAAAGCAAGGCACCTTGATGCGAGATTCCGTGTCAACAACACTTGCAAATTTCTTGTCTGCAGCAGTGCCATTAAGATATCTCGGAGAGACAACCATAACACGGTGACCACGGGAAGCTAGTACAATAGGCAAAGAACCACAAACATCTCCCAAGCCACCTGTCTTTGAATAAGGTGCTGCTTCAGCAGTAACAAAGACAATGTTATAGGTTGTTCTGGTCTGGGGTTCCTCTTTTCCGTCTATGCCCTCAGCTTCGTCCACTTCATCAGAAATTACATCCTCAGGAGGCTCAGCGACTTCAACATCACCTGTATTCAAATATATAAGCAGGATTCGCGTTTCGAAAATTTCTTGTCAAATGCAAGATGTGCAAGTTATCTATCATACGTTAGCATTGTCTGAAAATTTCCACTTTGTGTTTTGTAATATAAAACCTGTATTTATCAGAATTCAGAAGCATATTGAAGCAAAAAAAACACACAGAAAAACGGAAAAAAGAGAATATACTGGACCAGGTAAGAATAATTACATATGAACACTTTAGACCCTTCTAAAAGCTATAGAGCAAGGTGGACACCTCATGGCATACCAAAAAGCAAAAAAAAAAAAAAAAAAAAAAAAAAAAAAAAAAAGGGGTTTTTTAAAAAAAAAAATAAAAAAAAAAAAAAAAAAAAAAAAAAAAACCGTGATTTTTTAAATAGTAACTACGGGTCTCAGTGTTACATTAAAATTCCATTGATCAAGAATCATTTTATTCTAAAATCAGTTTAACCAGGATACGAGTTGACTTTTCACTTAAAACTTGTCAAGTCAAATGTCCCTGCACATATTGCCAGGACCATCCTGATGGCTAACTTAATTACACATGAGAATATTCACACGTTTTTTACACCAAAATGGGAATTATCATTATTTTATTAGGTCACATCTCAGGTGATCCTGAAAACATTATACTATATACTAATTACAACTATGTCGAAATAAAGCAATTCTAATCTGACATAACCAAATAAAAATATCACTAAGCGATCCAGTAATCATTATAAAAAAATGTAAGCTACATCAGAGTATATCGAAAACTTTTTATACAAACAAAAATAATATAACTAATAATCAATGAAAGAGGGAAACAAATGCAAAATCATATCCTCCGAAAAAGGGAAAATAAATATATATCGTAGATGCCAATTTCCAAATTCGATAGAAAATTACGCCAAAAAAAAAAGATGAATTCAGAAGCAAATATAGAAACGTACCGGAAGGAGGAATCAAGTGAAAGCCGATAATGGAGCCAGAGTCATCCTTCTCTGTTCCCAAAACGAGACTTCCTTTTTTCTGATCAATTTGCGAAGACCGATTAGCACGATCGTCGCTCTCGCCTAAAACCGATCCTCTCAGCCTCAAACAACCATTCCTTCCTCTTCTTCTTCTTCTCCACGACGGAGCAAAATAAACTCTCGAGTTACTGAAATTGGATTTCGCCGAATTCGGGAACGAGTAGTTGCATGGGACGACGGAGCCGGGGATTCGTAGACACTCCATTGAAGATTTAGAGAGAGAAACTCCTCCGCAGAGTAAGAGAGAGAGAGATTGAGTGACCAAATCCAACGCGAGACGAAAGGAATCGTAGTGAGTGAATAGTAGAAGTAGTTGAAAGTGGCAAGGCAAATCTCAAGGGGTGACAAAAAGAACGAACTTCACCTGTTTGTTATTATTATCATTTTTTTTTTTGTTTTTCAAAAAGCATAATTAAAGAGAGATATTGTCCATGAGATCCAGAAAAGAAAAGGTGCCGAAGATGAAAGTGGATCCTCTGCGGGCCACCCCAAGCTAAGACGAAACAACCTAGCGTGTGCCATGTGGTTCTTCCACGTGTCGACACTAAATGAGAAGGCAGAATCAGACTTTTTAATTGGCACTAATGATTCCTAAACTCACGAAATGTAGTTTGGTCTTTAAATTTTTTTGACCAAATGAGCTTAAAACTATTTAAGATGGTGTAATGTCATTTTTTTTCATTAAATGCCATTTAAAAATAGAGATTAAATTCTAATTTAGGGATCATAATGTCACATTTTTAAATTATTATGTCGTTATTTTTTAGACAGTATCTGACATAAATGATTATATTGTAATCTTTTAAATAGTTTAGGGTTTGTTTCGTAAAAAAAAAAAAATTTAGAGATCAAATTATCATTGTTTAAAGAGTTTGAGGACAATTCGTACAATTTTTTTTTTCTTTTTTTTCTGCTAAAGACGGGTAGATATTTTTTTTTTCTAAAGACGGGTAGATATTTTTTTTTTTCTAAAGACGGGGTAGATATTTTTGTGTGCGGTTTTAGCGTTAATAGCTGATTCAAAAGCGATGCGCGGCATCATTAGTGCCACGTGGCAAAGAAGCAGAGGAAAATCACGTTAAAAAAACAAAAAATTGTGTGTACAAGGAAATTAGGAAAGCTCAACAAAGGAGACCCTAGGCATCACTCATCTCGTGACCCACCAGGAAGGACACTATTTTATTTATTTATTTTTTTATGGGTGAAGGAAAAGTGAAAACTAACGAGTAATTATATCCAATTAAAAAAAACACTTAAATTATCTTTAAAGGAAAAAAAAGAAACAATTCAAATTTAAATTGAAACAATTTTAGAAAATCTTGTCTTTAAAATTAAATTGAAACTATGAAGATGTTTAGTAAAAAGATTCGTTCCCTAATTCGAATTATGAGTCGTAATTCGTTACAATATTTTCTCTCATAAAAAATACACGTAAATCAAAAATAATTCGAATCACATGATTTGAATCCTTCAACCAAACGTATTTGATCACACCTTCAAAGCAAAAAGATGATATACTTAAAAATATGAAAGAAAAAATTAAAAATAAATAAATAAATTTACATATGATCACCAAATCCTCGCCAATTAACTCCATTGACGTTTACAACACAATAATAAATTAACAAAAACAAAAACAAAATAAAACATCAAAGTATTGACAAACAAAGTACAAGACAGAACTCATCACAAACATTTGATTAATCTCGGAAACATAATTAATCAAAGTCCTCTCTCCAACCGTGGACGCTTAAAGGCAAGGACCAATCTTCACCACCACCAACACCATGGGAATCTGGGCTATAGCCCACGGATCTCCGCATCCCACTATTTTTTGGGCCTGGGCTTCTCGGCAACTGGTACGTCGCCGTTCCCCCACCCGAACTCGACGAATCAAAGCCCGACCCAATAACAGAAACTCCTTTCCAGTTCCTGGTGGGTGGGTTCCATTGGGGCGTAGATGGGCTTCTCTGCTGCTTCAGTAGATGATTGCCTGGGCTTCGGGCCTTGGCCTTAGCGGACTGGGTCGGGGCCATGTAGCTGGGGACATTGTTTGGGCTTCCTATACGCTGCCGAGAGTCGAGCAGGCCCAAATTGATGTTGGTGGAGCCCGCCACGATGTCCATCTCGACGGTCTTCTCCGATGCGGCGTCGTCGGCGAAGTCGCCGTCGTGGTTGCTGGTGGTGGCGAGAGTGACGTAAGAAGTGTCGAGTGGGTCCGAGACGCGTCCGTTGCCGTGGTAGGGTTGGGCTGACATCCACCGCTCGAGCCAGTTCCAGCCCCATTGGGCCTTCTCCTGCGGGTTCGTTTGAAACCCGAAGTCGCTACCTCCGTCCGTGATCGTTTGTAGAAGTTGTTGGTGCTGTTGTTGCTGTTGCTGTTTAATTAAAAATAAAAATAAAAATAAAATTCATGTCAACCATAAATTAAATATCGTTTCAAAATTTTAGAGGGAAAATGATGAAAAATAATAAAAAGTGGTGGTGTATGATATGGAGCATAACATTTGTTATATGATGTCAATCTAACGTTTAATTATCAATTCAAGCCATTTTCTATAAATTGCTACGTGACGTTATTAGGAGTAATGATATATTTATCATTAGCTTATAGGATTGAGGTGATTATAAAATTGGTCCCTAAGTTTTTTTTATATAAAGTTTAATTAATTCTTAAATATACTACTAATTGAGCTATGAAAAAAATGGTAAGGACTAAATCCATACAAATTTAATAATTACAAGAGCGAGTAGAGGCAAAAACTTTTGAGCGCGTTTAGAGCTTGTTCCAAAATGATGTTTTTTATATGAAAATGAACATGAAAACCGAAAACGTACAAAAATCATTTTTAAAAATGCGTTTAGTAGTTTTATCAAGAAATTATTTTCAATATAAAAAACTCATTAATGTCTCTGTCTCTCTGCTATCGAAAGGAGAAAACGAAAATAAAATATGAAAAACGACTAAAAGTTGTTTTTATTTCTCTCATTTTAAACTAAACTAAAAAATCGTTTTCGTTTTCGTTTTTTGTCTTTATTGCGCCAAACGCTGTTTTAAAAACGTTTTTATTTTTTCTTTCTAAAAAACGTGAAAAAAAAAAACAGAATTAATTCCAAACACGTCCTTTGTTTTTTTGTTTTTTATTTTTTTATTTTTTGGTTGCACTCATTAATATAAGGTGTTAGATCTTGTCATTTGTTGGGATGTTTCCATAATTGTATAATGCTCAACTATGCTAGTTCACTGACCTGATAAGCAAAAGCATACGCAAGCGCTCTTTCCCACATGTCTTCCGGACAAAGTGTCTTTGATTTTCTCTGCACTTTGGTGCCTCTGATGCCTACCATGACCATCCCTCACCTTCACCGTCTCGGGCTTCTTCAAGGGGCTCTTCAGCTTTTGCGCTTCAAGCCCCAGTCCTTCTTCATCCCGATCCTTGTTCTGCAGCCGCTCGTGTGCCAGTTGCAGCCTGCGTGCCCGCACTCTTGCCTGCACCCGCACCAATGCTTGCATGCACCGCATTGTCATTTGCGCTTGCTTTCTAACGTTGTGCCCTCTAACCAAAGCCTGCAGCCTCACCAATCCTTTCAATGCGCGCAAAGCACGCCTAGCCTGCAAAATTTGTTCACATAAATTTTTTAGCACTATTTTTCATCATTCCGTCACCACTTGTGGTTGACATGACAAAAAGTAAGAGAATTCAGTATCATTTAGTTGAGTAGCAGTTTTAATATGTCGTCAACAGGAAACTTACCAATAAAAGGCACAAATTTAAGAGATTTACAATTAATTACTCAATCGAAGACTAAGAATAACTTAGCTCGTTAATCTACTATTCATGTATATAAGCGATAGAGCTTGCTAGGCAGGAAAAGTTGTCCGATCCTAAATAAGTCACCACTAGTCTAGTTCCACATCTTATCTACTGTACTAACATAATTGCGTTACATTTTGACAAACAAGAAGAGCAAGCAATGCAATTTTTGTGTTTGTGTGAGAAGAAGAGAAAGAAAGGGATATTACTAGATAGCCTCTGTAATATGATTGTATGAGTGTTGCAGCCTTTTCTTCCCTAGATTGGCGTCCATAACCAGCTAGACGAATAACTTTCGCTGCTGCTTGTGCTGCTGCGACAGCAGCTTCTGCAGCTGCAGCGGTTGCCACTGCAACGGCAATGGCATGGTTTCGGTCTTCTGTCACTGGAGTTGATGAAGCGCTCTCATTGTTTGTCACGTCCGGAGAACTCTCTGTGGGAAAATGTTCGAACGACACGACTTCTGCAGCGTCTTGCTGCTGTCGTTTCTCCACATTGTCCTTCTAAAATCATGTTACCATTGACTATAGTTAGACATTCATTTTTTAGTTATAGTAACTAGAAGTGTTGCTTTTTGTGTGACACTAGAAAACAAACTAGAAAGCAATTATATAACCATAACAAGAAGTTAGCATGACATTCTCCCAAGGACAAGAAGTTTCCTTTGGAATGATTGAAATCTAACGTCTATGAAGCACATGATGATGAAAACGAACGATGTGATGGCTTAGGTGGAATGATAACAATGGGTCGCAAGTGTTGCAACATTATATGGTCCTATTGGGGGGACCGTGGACACTTTTGTATTTATGGTTCTAAATGAGGCAAAAGGGTAGTACACCTTTAACATTTTTTTACACCAAGAAACCCATGACGTTACTTTCTTACCTTTTATTGTGGTAAAGTCAAGAAAAAAAAAAAAAAAAAAAAGATGTACATTCCAAAGTTGATCTTGTAAGAAAACATGAAAATTTGTTCTTTTACCAAAAGGAGGCATATTAACAAGTTATCAGATGGATTTTTCAGTGTTGAAATGATCAATAATAGTATTTTGGATCGGTCACAAATTCATAAATCACACTAAAACCATCACAATTTTGTTCTTTTTTGTTGGATTGTATTATGTGATTATAAAAAAAAATCAGAAAATAAGAGATATTACAAAATTGGCTATATGTAGAGACTTTGATCCACTTTTCTGCAAAATGTCAAAACAGCTTTCAGAAATACTACTGTTTTGAAGTTTGTAAGTTAAATGCAGTATTATTCTGAAGTAAATATTTACTAATAAAATAAAAGATTTTTTGGAAAAAATAATTGCACGACCACCAGGTTTGGATTATATATTTGGAAATATTTTGGTCTGTTTTGACAATGGAATTTTCGTAACAAATAATTGTAAGAACATTGTTCCATTGATAAATGATTAATTTTCCTTTTCCTTTCCTTAAATATATATATATATATATATATATATAAACATCTTACTTTTTTCTCTGGCAAGTCCTTGGAAGAAGGCCTAAAAACTTTCTTCACCGAAGAAAACCAGCCGTTTCCTTTCTTCACCATCTCAGGCCAAAAGATCGGCTTCTGATACCCACCACCCAAAAAAAAAAAAAAAAAAAAAAAAAAAAAAAAAAAAAAAAAAGAATTAAAAAAGAGAAAAGACACCAAATTTATCATTGAAAAAATAAATAAATAAACACATAGTAGTCAAACTAAAGCCTCTGTAGTTTCACAATAAGCTTCAACTTAAGAAAAACTACCCAAAAACGGAAAATCAATAAGCTTTCTGTATAACACAATTTTTAAAAGAAAAAAAAAAACCTAATTAAAACGAATAACGAAAGACATTACATATTGATCATGACATGAAAAAGTCAAATCATGAGCTGTTAAGAAGAAAAAAATATAAAAATCTAAAAGAGCCTCTGTATCGTTCCCCTAAAACGCTTCAAACCAGTCAAGTTAAAACCCAAATGAAATCAGGAAAAATAGACGAGAATGAGAGAAGAAAACTGTGAATCAAAGTATTAAACCTGAGAAGTATCTCTGTTGAGCTGGGATGGATATTTTTTTCGTAGCTAATTCCAAAAATCATTTCTGACATGCATTTTCTTCATAAAGATGTGTATATGTTGAGACTCCTTTGGACAGAAAAAAACTCGTGTAGTCAAGTGGAGAGAGAGAGAGCTGGCTATGCTAGAGAGAGAAACGGAGAGAGAGAGAGAGAGAGTCTGTGTGTGTTGTAGTGTGAGAGCAGTAACTGCGAGCCCGCGCAATCGCCGTTACTATTTAACAATTTCACGGGCAGGTTAGATTAGACCCTGTAATTGTAACACACGTATACAGTTGGTGCTCACCAATGAGCTTCTGCCACCTCATACCTTTGGTTGTGATCAACTGTAGAAGCAACAAAAAAAAATAATCACAAGTTAAGTTTTTTTGTATTTTTTCTAATAAATATTCAAATTTCACTTTTATTATTATAATATTTTTTCTCACACTAACTCAAGTTATTAACTCGAATGAACGAAATGAACTGAGATACTAAGGTCACGTTTATTTTATCGATTTAAATTTAGAATTCGAGTTTTGTCACAGTAAAAAAATCTCTCAGAAACAGTCACAACTAATTTTTTTGTTACAGTAAAAAACTCTCACATAAAATCACATCTCAATTCGAATTAAAAATTTGAACCAACGAACTAAACATGCCATAAATAATTTATACGGTAAAAACTATTCTTCAATGAGCTTATAAGAGTAATTTTGTGTTGCGCGTTTGTAAATTTTTTATGTGTATACTTATAGTACTGTGTTTAGTATGAGGATTCGTGTCATGGTTCGAATCATGGTTCGTGGCTCGCTACAGTATTTTCTCTTATAAAAAATACACATAAATTGAGAATAATTATAAATCTGTGAACCAAACGTTCTAATAAAAGATTAATGTATAAGCTAAAACAACTAATGAAAATGAAAAGTTGCTACTGTACAAACTCCTTGTTTTTAATTAAAAGGAATATATAAAGTTTTGTGGATATACGTTGGAATGAAAATGAAGAGTTGCTTGATTTATTCAAAATTGAAAGTCAAATGCCTTTTGTTTAATTTTTCTCTCTTACCAAACGAATTAATGAAATAATTTTCATTAATTGCAGCTAAGAAATGACGGGTAAGCACAGAGTCGGGATCAAAAGATGCCTATATTGATGATTACCTATCTTCAACTAATAATGCTGCAATTCTTTATTTTGTGTTTTTAAACCTTTTATTTATTTTTATTTCTTGCATCTTATGGTGTTCTGCCGTCTGGAATATCAATTTTAATTCAAGAACAAAAAAAAAAAAGAAACGTTTATATCAAAAACAGAAAAAAAAAAAAATTAACTTTTAGTATTTAGAGGTTATTCTTTTGGAGTGTAACTTAAGTGTAATTTTTGAATTGAATTTGAGTTATAACTTGAGTTGAAGTTGTAACTTAAATAAAATTGAGTAAAATTAAATAAAATTAAAACTTAAAAGAATGTGAACTTAAATAAAGTTACCAATCTGCTCCTGCCACGTGCCTCTCTCACACACAAAAGCACCTCTGCGTAACCATACTTTCCCTTTCCCTTTCCCTTTCCCATTTTCCTTTTTATGCCTTATAATTCCCCCACACTTCCTCTCACTCTTACTAAAAACCAGCTAAACTCCAAACGTCGCTCTCTCTCTCTCTCTCTCTCTCTCTCAAATCTCCGAGAGAGTTACTTGGGTTTCTCCTTTTCTGCGACAAGCTCTCGCTTTTCTTGTAGGTACGTCGATCAAAACACCATTTTTGTTCGTCTTCATCGGCAAGTACAATTTCCGTCAAAATGGGAGAAAGTGACGCACACATTGTTTCGTTTATGTAATTCTCCGAGTGAGCATACCGGAATTACGCAGGCTTGTTTTTTTTTTATATTTTTAAGTTAAGGTGATTTGAGTAATGACATTTGAGTTAAGTTTGAGTTATAATTTGAGTTTGAGTTATAATTTGATGGAAGTTGTAACTTGAGTTTGTGTTTATATATATTTATAGGATATTTGATTAGATGATTCAAATCATGTGATTCGAACCATTTTTTATTTACGTGAATTTTTTGTAAAAGAAAATACTGTAGCGAATCACGAATCATGATTCGAATCAGAGAACGAATTCCTCTATCAAACATCATGATTCGAATTTAGAATCTTTTTAAGTTTGTATTTGAATGATCACGTTACATACTTACATGAAAATGGTTTGATTCTCCAAAATTATCTCCATTCCTATAATATATTTTCTTATTATTATTTAAAAAAAAAAAAAAAGGGTTTTGGTCAATCGTTTCTGCCTGTCCCATAAATTTCAGTGTCTATTACATGGATTTCAATTTTCAGCCATACTCACTAATTTCTCAAAAGAAAATGGTGCCCACACTAACTGAAAACGCAACAAACAAATAGGTGAATTTTGGTCAGTCTCCCATTTATTCTGACATCAAAAAGGAAAAAAAAAAAACGCAGTTGATCGTTGTGTGTTTTATAAGCTATATATATATATATATATATATATACACATTGGAGGTGTAAAAACACCCATATAATTAAGGTAAATAAATAAATACTACACAAGGTCATGGGATGTCTATTTCAAGAGACCCATATTGAAGGCAAAATGGTTCCACCACTTAAATAACCTTTTTCTTGCTTGCTGAGCTGTGAAAGTTGCTTAGACAATAACCCACATTTTCTGCAGAAGAAGCCAATCTTGTGGGTATAGTTGAGGCTCTTAAAAGTGAAAAATAAAAGAGTTTTAAGTAAGGTAGATGAAGACTTGCTTGCACTTAAAGGGAAATTTTGAAGAGATATAATAGGGTTTAAATTGCAAAATATATAATGAATTAGGAAGGAGTAGAGGAATTCGAATCACCTATCTAAGGGGATGTTTGGTTAGAGTATTCAAACCATGATTTGAATCATGGTTCATGATTCGCTACAGTATTTTTTTTCATAAAAAATACACGTAAATCGAATATGATTCTAATTACATGATTATAATCTATGAACCAAACGTCTCCTAAGTTCTTTCGTCATTTAAAATGGTATCTCTAATCAATAAAATTGTGTCATATCATTTAAAAAATTTAAATTGTCTTTTAACTAACTTTTCCTTATTTTGATATTTGGATATATTAAGGGGCTGTTCGGCTAGGGTATTTTTAAGTGAAAAACTTAAAAAAAGTAACTTGAGTTATAACTTTATTTGAGTTCATGTTCTTTTAAGTTTGAATTCGAGTTTGGGACTAAAACTCGAATTCAAGTTTCCCCTTCAACTCGAGTTCAAAAACTCGAACTCAAATTAATGAATAATATTTTTTCTATTCTTAAAAATGCTATAACTTTTTCGTTTTAATTCTGATTGAGATGATTTTTTTTCTATGCGTTGACAACGAAAAGATGAAGAAAACCCGACCCATATACCCTATTAAAATTTTTCATCAGCATTGAGTTTTTATTAAAATACTATCTAAATACAAATTCAAATTTTGACTCACTCAAACACAAACTCAAAAATATTATTATCTCAAATCATAACTCAAATGTACACAACCAAACACAAACTCAAATTATAACTCCAACTCAAGTTATAACTCAAATTCAACTCAAAATCTACACTCAAATTACCTAACTCAAAAACATCAAAAGAACAAGAATAACGTCCATAATATTGTTGTTCAGAAACTAATTGAGACATAAAAAATTAAACAAATAATCTAACTTCGGAAAAATCTCACATTTGTATATTGCCTAAAATATTTTGATTGATATTATTATCGACTCGGAACGAATGCTAACATTACTTAAATAATGACTTTTTTCTTTTTGCATTGAGTCAATGTCGCTGGTACCCTTTCAGATATAGAGGTTGTTTAGTTGAAGGATTCGTACCCCGATTCGAATCATAGTTCATGGTTCGCTACAGTATTTTTTCTCACAAAAAATACGCGTAAATCGAAAATAATTCTAATCTATGAACCAAACGTCTCCATAATATTTTTGGGTAGAGTGGTAAGCTTGATAACTATTATTTACTCTCCGTTTGGTTGGAGGATTCGTTCTCTGATTCAAATCATGATTCATGATTCGCTACAGTATTTTTTCTCATAAAAAACACACGTAAATCAAAAATGGTTTTATAAACCTACTATTTACTGTATTCTCTCTTATTGAGTTGGGTGAGAAGCGCCTTTCAAATCATATTTATGTTAAGAGAGATCAAAGCCGTTCAGTTCGCTAATTGAAATTTTTAATTCGAGTTGAGATGTGATGTTGTGTGAGAGCTTTTTACTGTAGTAAAAAAGTTAGATGTGACTGTTTCTGAGAGCTTTTTATTGTAGCAAAACTCGAATCAGCGAAATGAACGGGGACGTACTGAATTGGGAATTGGACTATTGACATTTCGCATGCAGAAGACATCCATGGATTAATAATGTGCTTCTCTCTTCTCTTCATGTGTGTTTTGGTGAACAAAATTTATGGAACGTCACTGTTTTGTACGCTATATCATGTGGATTATAAACAATGTGGGAATATTATGCATTTACATGATATGGTTTTGGACCAATTGATTTTGCCAAATTCAGTTGTGAATTAAAAGATTTGTTTGAGATCTTTAAATAAATTATGGAGCTTACCCTGGCCACAAATTAAGAGTCTGTTTAATTAGTTCGTGCATTTAATTAGGTGAACATTAAAATTTAAATTTTTTGTGAAAAAAATACTATAGTAAAATTAAAATTATATATTTGAATGCATGAAACAAACTAAGCTCTAAAATGATCGTAAGAATTTAGGTGAACATTATTGTACTTTCACGTCTCATCAACTCGAAAAATGTAAACTTTATATTTTATGGGAGCTTCTCTGATAAAATTAGAAAAAATAAACTATTTATAATTCTCTATTTGTAACCTTTAAATATGTATATAAAACTGTTTATTCTGCATACTTTTTTAATCTCTTGTGATTTTAACATGATTCAACAATTAAAAATTAATATTATTATAAGATTGACCTACCAGAGAAATTTTCATATTTTATTATAGTCTCAATAATATGCACGATTGATGAAATCCGAGT